CGTATCCTGGGTCAAGCGAAAACCTCTTGGTAATCGAATCAAATATCCAACTATCAAGAACAAAAACAAACGATCAGCAATCTGCTTCGTTAGAAATTCCAGGGTATTCTTTAGTAGAGTATATTTACTCTACTAAATATAGAGTTATCGGTTGAAGAGATGCCAGCGAAATTACTCTACTTCCTGCTTCCCCCTACTATATCTCATCCTTGTTTTTTTTCTACATCCACTCAGAAAACTCTGTTTTTAAAGTCCCAATGCCCCACGCCTCAAGACCCAAATCACAAGTCCCTCTTCCTTGAAACCTGTATGTCCTGATCACTTACTTTCCCTCGCTTCCATCACCAGCACCTCTTCAATGACATGCACTGTACATTGTATTAGTTCTTTATGTACACATGTGATTTTTCTTGTTATAGACTCCATCAATGGTAGAACCTATGTATGTGTCAACCTATGAAGAACCAGTACCAAGCATCTTGCACATGGTACAAACTAAATAATAATAGTTGCATACAATATATTCTGATATTCTTCGGTCGTTGCTGAATGAGCAAATGGGCATAATAGTGTGCACTGACCAAGTCGTAGGAGCACTATAAAAAAAACACAGTAAGGCATATACCCAAAAACATTTAACAGAGAGGGAGGAGGGTGCAAAGAAACAAGTATGGTATTCAAAGTCAGAAAACCACTTACTGGTCTTAGGAAAGTCACCTTAAACTCTAGCATCTTCAGTTTTCTCATCTGCAAAATGGGACTGAACTGCAGATTTACAGTTACTGTAGGGGCTGAACCCAAACTATCGATGCTATGTAAGTATCAGTCTTTTCTATTCAGAGCTTACATACTAGACACTGCCTGCTTTGTTCTATTTATTCTATCCTCAGGTCTGATCTTGTCATCGGATCAACAGGTAGCTCACACACACCCCATCACATCTAGCATAAGACCAGGGGTCAGGGTCAAGAAGCATCCTTCTCCTACTGGGTAATTAAAGGTTACGGGCTACTCCTTACATATCCTAGAACCTTACGAGCCCTGACGCCTAGACTTTGGAATAGCTCGGAATGTCTATTCACTCCATTTCTTTCCTTTCTCCTCCTTAGCCCATGCCTTCCTCCACAGTCCCTCTACAATTACATTCCTGGAGGACTTCTTTTCTCATTTCTCTTCTTTTGTACAACTTGTAGCATTTTAAGCAACTCCCTTTTGTGCTTTTTATTATTCGATTCTGGGAGAGACTTTATTAAAAAAAAAAAAAAGAGTCCAACATTTGAAGGCTAAACAACGCAGCCAGTTGTTTTCCAGTTACAGGACACCGGCTGAAACTCCCGCTTCACTTTTGTGTTGGCCAATAACCGAAATAACATTTTGAAAACAGGATGGAACTTCTTGGGGCACAAAGAGGGCGACAAAGGGCGGCGGGAACACGTCAAACAGACATCCCAGATCTCCCCGTTTGACTAAACCAGTAGATGGAGCCCCGCGACCACGGATGATCACAAAGCTCCGTGTGCAACCAACCCCGTGTGGGGCCGACAACCGCCAGGGAGACCAATCGGGGGAGGCTGCTTCCCCACAATATCCCGACTTCAAACCCGGGAGCCCTGCTGCCTGTACGGAGTCAGCCGCTGCCCCGCGCAAACGCGCGTTCCCCCCGCGGGTTTCCAAGAAAACACACCCCCCCACCATGGCGGTGCCAGGTTTCTTCGGTTCGGCGGGCGCACAATGACCCGAGGGGATGGGGAAAACCCGCCGTCCGGGCGCCGACCTCTACAAGCGAGGACGCCCGCGCCACGGAAACAGGGAACGACCGCGGCCCGGGAGAGCGGGGAGCCACCCGGCCCAGGCCGCCATAGCAGCCCGCCGCGCCGGCCGAGACCGAGGCCTCCATCCACTCGCCGCTGCCGCCGCCGCCTGCCGACCGTCGGCTTATAAGGTCGTTAATCGGCGCGCGCCCACCGGCCCGGACCGGAAGGAAGAGACGGTCGCGCCGCTCCCACCTGAGAGCGGGCTGGGCGGCCGCGTGGCCAGCGATCACGCCAACACCTCAGAGGGGGCGGTGCCGCCATCATGCAGCATACCTTCCGGGACCCTCAGCCGCCAAGGCTGTGGGGAATGACGCCTTCCACCTAAGAAGGTTCTGGAGCGGGAGGAGCACCGCGGACCACCCCCCCCACCCTCGCCCCTCCCTTTGAGTGCGCGTTGGCGGGCCGAGCGAGGCCGCCTCATGAGGCTCAGCACCCGGGCCAGCCCTGGGCAGCAAGCTGTGGGAACTGAGCGAGTGGGACGCCCGACCACCCGCCGAGGACAGCCGGGTGTCGAATGTCAGCTGCCGGTGTTTGATGGGCAGATGGCGCTTGATTGGGAGGGAAGTGCACACGCACCAGGTGGGATCGAAAGTAAGACCTCGCAGCCCGGGAGAGAAGCTTCGTGGGAAGAACAGAGGAAACCACCTTAGAGGAGGTCGACTTCTGTGCTGCACTGAGCCTGGAAGATTGTGTTTTATCACCTAAGTTTGGGAGAGTGTGTGACACCACCTATGAGCATTTATGGCCGCAGTGTATTTAAGAGAATCGCGCCTCAGCTTTTCTGCAGCTGGAAGGAGTCACTTAACGGGAGCAGCGCTACGACAGAAATACATCTTATGCAGTTGATGCAAACACATCAAAGAATGAAGCATAAGCCACTGAAGACAGTGTCTAACAGTGACGTGTAGTGTTCGCTTTAATAGGAAGAAATGAATGCTCCTCAGTGGACTGAAAACAGTCCCTGGATATGCTGGGCTCCAGTGGAGGGATTTAAAATTAACAGCCTAACCACTAATCTAAACCCCTCACTTGGTTGCTAGTGTTATCTCAAAGATTTAACGCCTTTCCAAGTGTTCTGATCACAGATATCACCGCTCCCTGCTGTCTTAACAGCTGCCCTGATTTACATATTCGTAGTTAGGCTCTTGTCTGTTTTGCCACCATTTTAACCTCACTCCTAGGATAGTTCCTGGCATACAGTAGGCATTCAAATAGGTATAAATTTAAAAAGAGGGGGAGGGGGGGTCCAGGGAGAAAAAGCAAAAAGGAACAAAGGCTATTTCTGGAAAAGCACCAGGATGTTCCTTGAGTTTTCTGGCTATTTTTATGCATGTGTTAATTGTTTGGTAAACTGTATACAGTACAGTTTATTTCACTGAGTGGATTTACATCTTTAGAAACTTTTTGTTTTTAGTTCTTTTTTAAAACACTCTTTTTTAAACTTTTTTTTAATGTTTATTTTTGAGAGAGAGAGACAGAGACAGTGGGAACTGGGGAGGGGCAGAGACAGAGAGGTACAGAGAATATGAAGCAGGCTCCAGGCTCTGAGCTGTCGGCACAGAGCCCAACTTGGGGTTTGAACTCATGAACCATGAGATCATGACATGAGCGGAAGTCAGACACTTAACCAACTGAGCCACCCAGCTGCCCCCCAAAAAACTATATACAGGTTTGAATTAAATTTAGTGTGCTCAAGTATGTTTCAGTATGATTTGGATCCAGCCAGCATTTTGGTCGTATCTTACTGAATAGTGTCCCCAGTCACTATGGCTCGGTATATGCCCTGTTAAAACTCCTCTTAATTTTTATAAACTGGTAAACCTGAAAGATACAATTTTTGCCAACTGGACTTGTGGCTGCTATTGGCTTTTGTTTTCTGCCATTGAGAATTTGTTTCAGTTAATCATCCCTCCTACCTTGTTCTACTGGGTAAATACCTAATATTCAACCTGAGAGTAGGATGTAATATTGGAGGTTGTAGTTAATGTGTGGTGTGATTATGAAGATGGAAAGCTGATTGCAAGAAATAGGAAAGTAGCATTCTCACTCATACTTGCATTTTTTTTTTTCTCCATTAGGGATGCTGTGAACCCTGTGCCCAAATTCCAATATTTGGAATTCCTGTGGCAGCAGGTTTCATACAAGACCATATTATCTCATTGAAATGAGCTTTTAAATGACCAATTTGTTAATGGTGTCCTTTTTCGTAGGTGAGCAAATAACTGGTATCTTACTCTGGTTTTTGGAAATGCTTTGAAAAATTCCATTGTTCCTATTCTGTACATTGGTAGCAAAAACGTAAAATAATTTAGTGTATTTTAAACTTTTTTTAACGTTTATTTATTTTTGAGACAGAGAGAGAGCATGAACAGGGGAGGGGCAGAGAGAGAGGGAGACACAGAATCTGAAACAGGCTCCAGGCTCTGAGCTGTCAGCACAGAGCCTGCTTCAGATCCTCTGTCCCCCTCTCCCTCCCCTCCCCTGCTGGTGCTGTCCCAAAAAATTAGATATTTTAATGATGAACTTGTGCTTTGACTTTACTTATGTTTCTTAAAAATTATGTGCACTGAGTTACCTATGATATAATACATGTTCATTTTTTGCTTTACATTTACATTTATTCAGGTAGTGAGTTTTATAATTTATTAGGTCTATAAGGTAAAAATTTTAGTTAGATATAGACTTTAAAAATGTATTGTCAGTTGATTAGCTGCTTTATACTCTTTATTGAATATCATTTACCCATAAAATGTCAACTTATGGAAAAATTTAGAAATAAGTGACAACTGAGCACCATTTTCCTGAGCAGTGGGGAGGAAACTATCATGAAAACACTACTAACAAGGCCATTTTTGTCTTTCCTAAGAATTAAATTGTGACATATACACTAACTGGTCCAATGTGTTACAGTTCTAGCTGTTGCCAAGCAACAAGGACTCTCTTTTGTTCTATTATTTTCTGTCCTCATCCCTTACTGCCCTATCTACTTCTTTTGGTAGGGAAAAAATATCTACCTTAAAAAAAATAAAAGAAGAAAACCTACTCTATCAACATTTAGAAAACCAAATCAACAACTTTAGGTTAGATTAACCAATCCTCAATTATTGGAAATAGTAAGTTTTATAGTAAAAGAGAAAGGCATCATCAGAAGAGCTTCATTTACAGTCAGCCAAAATTCTAAAGAGCATGGATATGGATTCACAGTGCACACCCAGAAAGATCAGTATTTCTGAAAGGTCCATCCTTCCAGGAGCAAAGGCTGTTGAGAACGTGGATTACCCGCACTACTGCGATCTCTTAAGAAAAATGAACATGCCTTTTGTGAAAGGCGTCGAGGACAGACATGACCATGGCAGAATTGAAAAGAAATGCAATCCTACTTTTCTTAAGTTTCACCCTTATCCCCCTTCAGTCATGCCAGACTATCATTTACACTATCCTTATCCCCCGCCATATGGGCAAGATTATCCACTATTTCCACTTCGGGATGATGTGCCCTTGGGTGATCCCTGTTCAGGGTTTTTGAGTCCTGGTGGTGATGCTGATTTAAAACCTGGCATTGGCAGAACCATACCAAACCTGGTGGATTTCAGTGACGTGAAACCGCAGCATCGAGTTCCCAGGCCAGACACAGGATTTCAAACAACACTGAAAAGGCAAACAATTTTATTAGAAGAACTAAAACAAGACAGGAGATGGGATTCCAGGGCAACACCGGACATTTCCATCAGAGCAAGACTTGGAGGTAAATAAAGTGGCATGGGCTTTATAATTTTTTTAATGTTTACTTCTTTATTTTGAGAGAACAGGGCAGGGGAAGAGAGAGAGAGAGAGAGAGAGAGAGAATCTCAAGCAGGCTCTGCACTGTCAGCACAGAGCCCTGACCTGCGGCTCGATCCCACAAACCATGAGATCATGACCTGAGCTGAAATCAAGAGTCGATGCTTAACCGACTGAGCCCCCCAGGTGCCCCTGGGCTTTATAATTTTTAAACATTCAAACGAGAGAGAAGAGCATGGATATAAGATTCAGTATTTTAAACTTAAAATTATATGGAATAAGGAATTCTTATTTTTTAAAATTATAGATGGTAAGGAAAAGGTAGTAAGAATGATAAGCCTTTTATAAACCTATTTGTAAGAAAATGTATTTTTAAATATATTTTTGACCGAGAGTGCATGTGTGGGAAGTGGAGGGGCAGAGAGAGAGGGAGAGAGAATCCTAAGCAGGCTCCATGCTGCCAGCACAGAGCCTGACACAGGGCTTGATCCCACAAACTGTGAGATCATGACCTGAGCCGAAATCAAGAGTTGGATGCTTAATCAACTGAGTCACCCAGGTGCCCCTAAAAAAATGGCTTTTAAAACGTGCCTTAATTAGGATAAGTGGCCAACACAAAGTGTATTATCAGAGAATTTATTCTAGACATGTAGATAACCTAATTTTTCCACAAGGGAATGTATGTTTAGTTTGGATGATTGTATAGCATACCTCCTTATCTGTCTCTCTCCCTTGAAAAACGTCTGCTGATGGTTATGAAAGAGGTCCCAAGAACCAAAATGAAATGGGAAGGTAGTTGGAAGTCGATTTGGGGGTCTGGTAAGAAACAACCCTTCCGTAGCCCTGGATACAGAACTGACCCCTTACTAATAGCTATACACTTTATGGTTTCTCTGTAAGAACTCGCAGACAGTGTCACAGGCTTGGTGCAGAAACGGTGAGAAACACTTGCAAAGCAAAGGCACACGGAGTAAGAAAGAGCAGTTCGGAGAGAGAAAAGTAGACGATAAGAGCTAGGCTTTTTCACGTGTGCTTCAGCTGTGGACTCAGCAGGCGGGCTTGGGGGAATTCTCTAGTTTGGCATTTCCACATAAAGAATATGAGTGAAAAAAGTAAAGAATGTGAATGAGGTTCCAGCAATCTATTTTAAGAAGTAAGTGTTTTACAATCCACTTGAAATGCCATCTAGACCGGAAGCTAACGTAATTTGCCCCGAACCGTTGATGAGTTCGGGTCTGTCGTGCAGACAGAGGACATCTCACTGATTCAGAGCTAGTGACTATTTTTCGACTCTGTCAAGAAAAGAGCTTGAGCTCAATCTTTTGCTGATGCTTCCGTGTAAAATAATAGTCATTGTTAAGAATATGTTTAAAGGAATTGAAGTTGTTTATAAGAGTCCTATTTTAGACAAGTATACCACTTTGCTTACAAGCAGTAAACCCCAGCCTAGTGTAAGTTTCAAGAGCCATATTTTTGGTTTGTTTCGTTAGGTTTTTCTAAGCTTGGACTCTCAGAACATTATTCCAACAAATTACACATTGAAGAAATAATTCATCGAAGCTAACTTAAAACTAAAATAGGGTTAACGGACTTTGCACCAACAGTTCAGAACCAAGTATAGAACTCACTGCCCGAATCAGTACAACAGAGTTCAATTGTCTGTCTAGGCTTGAATCCTAAGAGAAGGCTTACTTGCCCTATCACCCGGGAATAGTTGCTAATCTCTTTATGCCTGTGGATATACATATAAATTCACATACTAGTATTATTTAATAAGGTAATAATGAGGACTATTTAATATAATTCACATAAAGATATCTGACATGAAGGAATGGACGAATAAATGTTAGCTCTTACAAAGTCCAAAATTTTCAATTCCTTGGCAATAAGAGTACTTCTCTTATAAAATCATTAGGATTAAATGAATTAAGACATGTAGAGCACGAAACAAAATTCCTGGAACCCAGTTCAAGCATTTAGTTGATAGTAGCTGTTAATATTGGCTATTAGAGTTTCAAGGAGTAATACCGGCCAGCTGTGGACTGGGTTCGATATAATTTGTCCAAATTTTCAATGATTTTGTAGATCTTGGAAATAATCACTAATTATCAATAGTAAGTACTTTCAGTTTTTAGCAAACCCAAATACACATAATGTAGAATACATTCTGATAAAGGACATATTTATAGAATTAATTATATCACACACCAGTACGCTTTTCAGTGGGCGTTCATAAATACCAAGACAATATCGTAAAAGATTATATTGCCAATTTCTTGCCTATTCTGACTTTGTCTAGACATTTAACTGGGTTCAATACTTTTTTGTTCCTAGCTGGCTTTCTTTATCATATACCAGTCAGGTATTCTAAACTTATCCTAATTATATTCAAACCCTTCATTGGTCTTTTTGCCTCTAATTACAACAGATGACACATCTTCCTTATCACAGAGAAAATAGAAGTTGCCTGTATCACATCTTTGACTTTCCTACATTCAGCTTCCTAATATCAATACTTCTAACTCCTTGTATATCTTATTACTTTTTTTAGCCACCAGCTTAGCTCAAGCTACTAAAAGAAAATACCATAGTATGTGTGGCTTAAACAAGACATGTTTACTTCTCACAGTTCTGAGGGCTGGGAAGTCCAGGATAGAGGTGCCAGCTAATTTGGTTCCTGGTGAGATCCCTTTTTCTGGCTTGCAGAGGACATGCTTCTTCCTGTTTCCTCATTTGGCAGAGAGAGAGAGACAGCTCTGGTCTCTCTTCCTCTTTTTTTTTTTTTTATAAGGATAGTAATCCTATTATGGGAACCACACCTTCGAGACCTTATCTAAACCTGATTACCCCCCCAAAGGCCCAACCTTCAAATACCATCACACTGGGGGTAAAAGTTTCAACATGTGAATTTGGGGGGCATGCAAACCTTTGCTCTATAACAACCATTTTTAAGTGCATGGTTTATTGGCATTAAGTACATTATTATGAAACCTTCACCACCATTCATCTCCTTAAGTCTTTTCTTCTTAAAAACCTGAAACTCTGGGGGCACTTGGGTGGCTTAGTCGGTCAAGCATCCAACTTCAGCTCAGGTCATGATTTCACAGTTCTTGGGTTTGAGCCCTGCATCGGTCTCTGTGCTGACAGCTCAGAGCCTGGAGCCTGCTTTGGATTCTGATTCTGTGTCACCCTCTCTCTGTCTTTCCCTCCCACCTTCTCTCTCCCTCCCTCTCTTTCTCTCAAAAATAAATAAACATTAAAAAATTTTTTTAAAAAACCCTGAAACTCTGTACCCATTAAATACTAACTTCTTATCTCCTCCTCTCCTCCCAGCCCCTGGCAATCACCATTTTTCTTTCTGTCTCAGAATCTGGCTACTCCAGAAAATATACCTTTGTATGATTTTGGTCTTTTAAAATTTATGAACACTTGTTTCGTGGCCTACAATATAATCCGTTGTGTAGAATATCCATGTGCACTTGAGAAAACTGTGTGTTCTGCTTGGGTATTCTGTTGGCGTGTTCTGTATATGTCTTTTGGGTCAAATTGTTACTGTTTGAGTGCTCTGTTTCCTTATTGATCATTGTCTAGTTGTTCTCCCCATTATTTAAAGTTGAATGTTGGAGTCTCCAACTATTATTATAGAGTTATTTCTGCCTTCGATTCTGTCAGTATTTGCCCATGTACTTGGAAGGTCTGATGTTGGGTGCATATAAATAAAGTATAAAGTAGAAAACACAAGAACAGGAAAAATCAACTAAACCTTAAATTGGTTCTTTGAGAATGACAAAATTGACCTACCTTTAGCTATGTTGAGAAAGAAAATTCAGAGAAGACCACTACCAAGGATATTTTAGATGTTGAAGAAACACATCTCTAGCCATTAGAGGAGGAAAACACATGAATAAGAAAATATACAGGGGTGCCTGGATGGCTCAGTCAGTTGAGTGTCTGACTCTTGGTTTCAGCTCAGATCATTATCTCACGGTCATGAGATAGAGCCCCAAGTTGGGCTCCATCCTAAGCATGGAGCCTGCTTGGGATTCTCTCTCTCTCTTTCTCTCTTTCTTTCTTTCTCTCTCTCTCTCTCTCACCACCCCCTCACTCATTTGCACACTCTGTCTCTCAAAATAACTGAATAAATATTTCCAAGAAAAAAAAGATAAAAAATATACGAGAATACTCCTTAAATATTTCTTTTAAGGTTTTGTTTCTTGGGGCGCCTGGATAGGCTCAGTCGGTTAAGTGTCCAACTTTGGCTCAGGTCATGATCTCGTGATGGTGAGTTCGAGCCCCGCATCAGGCTCTGTGTTGACAGCTCAGAGCCTGGAGGCTGCTTCGGATTCTGTGTCTCCCCCCGTCTCTCTCTCTGCCCCTCCCCTGCTCATGCTTATGCTCTGTCTCTGTCTCTCTCTCTCTCTCAAAAATAAATAAACATTAAAAAAAATTTAAGGTTTTGTTTCTTTAAAACCATCACATTATAGAAGTATTTTATGATAAAAATGATAGGTCCTATGGAAAAATACCATTTGTGGCAGGCCCCTCCAAACTCATACACTTTCATGTGTTGCACAAAACTCACAATGAACATATCACAGTCGCAGACATGTCCCATCTCTGACAAGGGAAGAGCTAATACAACATTTTCCTTGACAAGGGACTTGATACTTGTTTGGTGGCATGAAAGTGGTAAAATGAGACTATGCGTAATGAAGAAAAGGTGTGTGATCGCTGCTCCTGAATGTGGCCATTGGCAGCTCACCGCTTTCAGTGTGTGCCTGCCCTTTCCCGCACCAGGGCATGAGGTCTGTTTCTTGCCCACGTGGTCTCTGGGCTCTAGCCTACAAGACATCATTGGCAACCATGATGTAAGTGGAGCCTGACTTCAGGACTTGCACATTGGGATTAGTCCTCTAGGGATTCTTCCTCTTCATTCTCAGTGACTATTTTGTGACAAATCCAGCATGGGCCCGTAGGAAAAACAAACAAACAAACAAACAAACAAGGCACTGGTCAGCAGGCCTAGCTGAGCTCCCACTGGCCAGCCATGTGAGGGAGATGATTTGGGACCGCATGAGCTCTCCCAAGCTACGCCACATGACATACAACGCCCGCCTGGCCTCAGAGCCCCGGGAGATGATGAATGGTTGTTTTAAGACACTAGGTTTTGGAGTGGTTTCTTCTGCAGCCACAGAGTGTGAAACAAGGTAACGGCAATGCCATCGTCTTACTTAGATGTGAGCGTAGTGACCCTGACGTGCGCAGCTGAGATTCATTGTCCTGTTTCCTGTCTCCTACTCTGCCTTAAAAATCACATTTTAGGTTTTGTTGTTTTCCTACTTTCCTCTTTGGTCAAAGCCGCTGCCTCAATGACAGCAAATCGGAAGGACACCACAGAGTGCCATCCTGCTGCGGTGGGCACAACGGTCTTCTGGAGGGTTTCCTTTGGCCAGCTGGGTGTCACCGACAGAATTATCCTTGTTCTCAAAATGGAAATAACCATGGGCTTCAGCACGACCTTTCTCACTTGGCCTTGACCTCCTGCCTCTGCCTCTGCCTCTGTATTTTCTCTTCCTGTGGTGACAAAGTGCCGCAAACTTAGCAGCCTGACAAACCCATTTATTAGCACCCAGTTTTGTGAGAAAGTCTAGGCAAGCTCAACTGGGTTTTCTTTCTTTTTAATTTTTCAATTTTTTAAATTATTTTTTTAATGTTTATTTTTGAGAGAGAGAGAGAGAGAGAGAGAGAGAGAGCAGGGGAGGGGCAAAAAGAGACAGAGACACAGAATCCAAAGCAGGCTCCTGGCTCTGAGCTGTCAGCACAGAGCCTGACGTGGGACTCGAACCCATGAACAGTGAGATCATGACCCGAGCCGAAGTTGGACGCGTAACTGACTGAGCCACCCAGGCGCCCTTCAACTGGGTTTTTTATTCAGGATCTAACTGCTGAAGCCTACAGTGTCCGGGGAAAATCGACTTCAGGATCATTCAGTTTGTGCAGAATCCGGTTCCAGGCATCAGAGCTGTCACAGCCAGGGACACTCTGCTCCCTCAGGCTACCTGTGCTCCTCCTCACGAGGCCTCCTCTGTCTTCCAAGTCAGCAGTGGTGTGTCCAGGCCTTCTCAGACTCTAATCTTTCTGACTTCCCCTTTGTCAAGGTTAGATCAAGAGTTGTCTTTGGGGAGATAGTCTCAACTCCCCACAGTCTGGCTGGGCCAGTATCCTTCCTCCACACGCCCACAGAGCTCAGAGCCCAACTATCCTTATGGTTGCTACACGACACTGCAACGATCTACTTACATGACTGTCGTTGCTCTTTGTTCAGGAGCACTTCAAAACCAGGAACCCCCTCTTCCGTCTCTGCGTATCTATTTCCACTTACGGCGCAGTAGATATTTGTTGAAGTCTGTGTGTGTATTTGCTAGGGTCTTAGAACTTCTATCAGTTAGGTAAGTTATCTACATGGTAACTAGACTCCTTTGTGTGGCCACCGTCCCCAACCGCACACTCATCTGCAGATTCATGGTACCCAACAGGCCTCTTCTAGTAATGAGTGATACATACCAAGTAATTCCACATTGTTATAATTACCCTAAGATGGAAATTCAGCTCTCACTGCTGAGAAAAGTTGTTAGGTATTCCACCGAAACGTCAATTAACGTCATTTCTAATAGGAAATACTTCTGGCGGAAGAAAAGATTTCTAATACATCTTTAAAAACCCAAAGTACATACATTTATTTTTTTTTCAGGTTGGACAAGCCCACTGAAAGTTACTCCTTTACCACGTCATCACGAAGCGTGCTCAATAAATCACACATATGTATTTGATGAAGAACCAACATGCACGGTAAGATTGTCTTTATGGGATGGGGTTACACAATATTTGCAATTCATTTCATTGTCTGTGTATTTGATATTTTACGCCCTGGGAAAAAAAATAGCTATTGTTTATAAAGTACTTCTTACGTGCCAGGCACCGTGCAGCCCTTCACAATGATTGTGTGTCATGTGTTATCGTTTGTCGTCCTGTAGCAATACTGTGGGGGAGGAGAGAGCAGGAAATGCTGATAGTGCCCAACCCAGATGCCCTTTCCTGGCAAGGGCACCCTCCTCCAGTAGCCATGAGTGGTGGCCACCAAATGCCTGACGGTCACCAGCCTGGAAGACTGCACCCTCCTACACGGTCTCCTCAGACTTTGGCCAATGGCTGACTGACTTCCTAGAGGAAACACACCTGAAACTAAGCAGGGTCCACATTCTCACTAACCTCCTGTCCCCTAGGGTGCTCCGACAGTGTATTACTTGAGTGAAAATCTTGCTTCCATCCCTGCTTCTGGATAAGGCAGTATTGTTATCCCCACCTTACTTGAGAAAGCTAATGCCCAGTGATGTTACATAACTGATTTTTTAATTTAATTTCAAGTTCGTTAACATACAGTGTAGTCTTGGCTTTAGGAGTAGAACCCAGGGATTCATCTCTTACCTATGACACCCAGTGTTCACCCTGAAAAGTGCCCTCCTTTTAATGCCTGTCATCCATTTAACCCATCCCCCCACCTGCCTCCCCTCCAGCAACCCTCAGTTTGTTCTCTGTATTAAAGAGTCGCTTACTGGGGCGCCTGGGTGGCTCAGTCGGTTAAGCGGCCGACTTCGGCTCAGGTCATGATCTCACGGCCCCGTGAGTTCGAGCCCCACGTCGGGCTCTGTGCTGCCAGCTCAGAGCCTGGAGCCTGTTTCAGATTCTGTGTCTCCCTCTCTCTGACCCTCCCCTGTTCACACTCTGTCTCTCCCTATCTCAAAAATAAATAAAATGTTAAAAAAATTTTATATATAAAAAAAAGAGTCTCTTATTTTAACTGCACACTAAGTATGAAACCAAAGTTTAAACCTGGGTATCTTTCTGAATTTAATGATTATGTTATTAATCATTTTTCTATGTGGATTTTATTGGCTCTAAACTCTTGCTATTTAAATGACTGGAATACTACCCAAGGGATATACAGACAGCTCAAGGATTTTTCTTTTTTTAAAAAAAATAGCTTGGGGCATCTGGGGGACTTAATTAGTTAAACATCCGACTTCGGCTCAGGTCATGATCTCACAGTTCTTGGGTTTGAGCCCTGCATCGGTCTCTGTGCAGAACCTGGAGCCTGCTTTGGATTCTGTGTCTCCCTCTTTCTCTGCCCCTCTCCTGCTCATGCTCTGTCTCTGTCTCTCTCAAATATAAATAAACATTAAGAAAAAAATTAAGAAAAAACCCCAGCTCTATTGAGACATATTTCATATACCACAAAAGTCATCCATTTAAAGTGTTCAATGTTTTTTTTTTTACATTTTTAAAAATTAAGTTTAGTTTTGAGAGAGAGAGAGAGAAAGTGTGAGTGGGGGAGGGACAGAGAGAAAGGGAAAGAGAAAGAATCCCAAGCAGGCTCCGCACTGTCAGCACCAGAGCCTGATGTGGGACTTGAACCCACGAACAATGAAATCATGACCTGAGCTGAACTTGGACACTTAACCAACTGAGCCACCCAGGTGCCCTAAAGTGACTGATGTATTTTTAAAGGTGCTCACGAAATGGAGCAACGTCACCACAATCTAATTCTAGAACATTTTCATCTCCTCAGAAAGAAACCCCATAGCCATTAGAAGTAAAGATGTGAATACTTCTAAGGAATCAGTGTCCATTTCCATGACCCCCATATGTATTCCTTTCCACAATTGATCTCTGCTTGTGGATTTATCTGTAACTGTCGTGTTAGATTTAGTTCTACTTTCCCCATGTCTTCCTTCACGATTGCGCAGACTGATTCGACCACAGAGGGGATTGGGGCACACGTCCCACAACTGCCAGTTGTACCACAATGAGTGGCGAAGGAACCAAAAGGGTCCCTCAAAATCTGTATCATCAGTGCCTCGTTTATCTAGATGCCATCCAGCCATGGTGGACTTCCTGCTTTTCCTTGTCTACAGACTTTCTTTATAAGAAAATCTTGCCTTTAGAAATGGGGGGGGGCGCCTGGGTGGCGCAGTCAGTTAAGCGTCCAACTTCAGCCAGGTCACGATCTCGCGGTCCGTGAGTTCGAGCCCCGCCTCAGGCTCTGGGCTGATGGCTCGGAGCCTGGAGCCTGTTTCTGATTCTGTGTCTCCCTCTCTCTGCCCCTCCCCCGTTCATGCTCTGTCTCTCTCTGTCCCCAAAATAATAAATAAACGTTAAAAAAAAAAACTTAAAAAAAAAAAAGAAATGGGGGTAGGGGCGCCTGGGTGGCTCAGTTGGTTGAGCGTCTGACTTCAGCTCAGATCATGATCTCGCAGCTTATGAGTTCGAGCCCTGCATCGGGCTCTGTGCTGACAGGGCAGAGCCTGGAGCCTGCTTCAGATTCTGTCTCCCTCTCTCTCTGCCCCTCCCCTGCTCATGCTCTGTCTCTCTCTTTTTCTCTCTCTCTCTCTGTCAAAAATAAATAAACATTTAAAAAAAAAAGAAATGGGGGTAATTTGGCCTGTTTTGAGCCATTCTAAATTCAGATAAAATGCAGAATGTGGTTGAAAGGATAAAGAAAACTTGTACTTACTAGTTTCACTCATTCCATCTCCAGACTTTTCAAAGAATCCATTGCTCCTGTAGGTAAGTCCTTTGAGAGCAAATTAAAGTAAACATTTTAAGAAATGAAAGGCATTGGTGCCTTTTGTTTTTCATTTAAGCTGCAAATTCATGGCAAGTCTCCATGTTTTATCTAGTTATCTATTTTAGAATTAGACTACTGAAGTAAGTGCTTGTCATGTAAAGGCTTATTAGCATCTTTATTTAAATTCAAAATAAGTTTAGACTTCTTCTCGCAGAAAATAAATCTGGATATTTTATTTCCAGTAGTAGAAACTAACCAGGTAACATGGGGCAATACTTCTAATAGGAAACAACTAGATTAATATTTCGCTTTTATTAAAATATCAAAAAGCTAATAAGGTAGAAGTGATTGGGTCAGTGAAAGGATGGAAACTTTAAAATGTAAGCCTAGCACTCAGGGCCACTTTGGCCATACAGGAATTTGCCATTCTAGAAGGGAAAGCTAAAACTCTGAGCCAGATCTTTGGTGGTCTCAGAAGTATAAAAGATCCAAAGTTGGAACTGATCTCTGAAAACAATCCACTGCTTTGGGAGGAATACCTGGAGGCTGGTTTCTTAGGGAAAGGATACATCAATAGGAAAAAGCCCTTAACCAGACTAAAGCCTGGCTTGGTCCGAGTAAATGAGAAAACTCTAAGTCTTGAACTGGTATCGAGGTGATCTTAGATTCTTATCATTCCCAGGATGCAGGCAGACAGAAACAAAACTTCTCTGGAGAAAGACAATATGTGACTAAGCCTTAAATTATTTCCATCAATAATGTTTTAAAATGTCCAGCATACAATCAATAGTAACCAAACACGTAAAGAGAAAGGGCACCGTGAATTAGAATCAGCAGAATGAAAGAAAACAGAAAGACACACATTGATTCTAGACATTGAAAATATGCAAGGAGAGAAAAGGTGAGTCCAGAATTTTTGTAAAGAAATTAAAAATTACGAAATGGGAAATTAGGAAATTGAGGGGAAACGAGTTCCAGAACTGAAAAATATCATAAACAAAGAACAGGGCAAGTGAGCACAGTAGCTGATCTGACACTGGTGGAGAGAATTGGAGAGCTAATAGGTAAATGAGGAGACACCATTCATGATAAAGCAAAAATGCACAGAAAAATGGAAAATACGAAGTGAGAGTAAGAAACATATAGGAAACAGTGAAAAAGAGGAACGTGTATTTATTTGAAATCCCAAATGTATAGATGAATAGGACAGAAGCAGTATGTGAAGATGTAACTACTGTATCTACCGTGTGCCCATTTCTGGGGGGTTCCTGGAGGGTGCCCTCACGTTCCCTGCTGTACATGGAGAGTTAAGGCCCCGCACAAGCACCAGATCCCACAGCAACAGCTTGTCAGTGTTCCTCCCAGCACCACGGCAAATGGCAGCCCAATTTTCAAGACAGAGAGATCCAAAACATGGAAGACACAAGAATGGAAAGAAATAGGAAATTCCTGAAAATTTTGTTCGCATTGTTTATGATAATTGCATTGCTCAGAATCTGGACCTCAGCAGTCCTTTTTTGTTAGCTCTTGTGAAATTTGAAGGAATTCTAGGAAGTTGAGGCATTTATGATGTTGACAGTGATGAAGGATCTTAATGCAGATGAACAATGCTGAAGTATTAGGACATAAAGGAACATCTCCTTCAATGTCTTGTCATAGAACCTAAGAAATATCTAGCATTTGGTAGAGAAATTTCCATTGAGTCAGACTTCAAGAACACTGATGAATTCAAATAGGAAATGTAGTCCCTTCCTTATGAAACAGTACACACAAACATGCAGAGAATAGAAATAGAAGATTCGCCAGCAAGAGAAAAGCTCCTATAAAGATTTGCTTTGACGGGCGCCCGGATGGCTCAGTCGGTTGAGCATCGGACTTCAGCTCCATGAGTTCGAGCGCCGCGTCGGGCTCTGTGCTGACAGCTCAGAGCCTGGAGCCTGCTTCGGATTCTGTGTCTCCCTCTCTCTCTGCCCCTCCCCCACTTGTGCTCTGTCTCTCTCTCTATCAAAAATAAAAAAACATTAAAAAAAGTTAAAAAAAAAGATTTGAGAAAACCGTGTAAACAATAAACTTCAGGATCTGCAAACGTTTCATAAAGAAATTGAAGATATATAACATATTGAAATGGCAGCTTATAAGACCTATCAGGAACTGGAAGCGATGGGTTTTAGAGAAAAATCCAGATTCCAATGAAAGATGATACCATGGTGTCAATGATATACCA